GAGCACTTCATTCCACCGCCTGCGCAGCGAAAATATGACCCCTCTTGTCATGCGCGTCTTCCCTCGCCATGTGCATGCTCGCGCTGCGCTGACCGATCAGCAGCGTGATATCATCACCTTGCACAGCCGCAGGACACACTCGCTCAAATCGCAGGATAGGGTCTTGCAGTCTACCATCTTCGCTCATTTAGTCTCGAGCTACTACCCCCTCAAGGCCTTCCCGCACCGCTATGCTCAGATGCTCGACTGCTATCTCCATGGCATGCCGATCTGCCAGTGTCCGACGGAATGTCATGGATGTCAGCGCGAGCTCGATCCCTCCGTTGCTGCACATCATCTCCAGACTCTGAGACCTGCAAACGCCGATCCTCCAAGCTTCCCACGGCGCATTCCCGGTCGGTGTAGCTTGAGAAGCTACGGCAGATCTGGGCGGTCAGAAGCCTAGAGAAACCGACTCTTTTGCTGTGAACTGTGTGCCTGGAGGTTTAGCTTGATCCTGCTTTATTTTGCTTGAGGCACTTTTTACCTTCTGCCAGTAAATCCTATGCGCATGACAACCTTACTCGTACGATTCGGTCGATGCTGAACGAAGCTGGTCTTCAGAGCGTCATCGATACAGTCGGGGATCCTCGTTCTCGACGGCAGGTACCCTCCCATCCTCATGGCCGCAAGATGAAGGGCGATATCCACGAGAGAATATCCACATCCCTGGAATCCGCGATCGAGGGTCCGAGCAGTACGAGGGCTTGATGGCGGACGTGACGTTGGTCCACCCTTACATTGGTTTGCATAGGATTTACTGGCAGAAGGTAAAAAGTGCCTCAAGCAAAATAAAGCAGGAACAAGCTAAACCTCCAGGCACACAGCGCTCAGCGAGAAGCTGCACAATCACACACAAAACACAAGCCCGAAAAGAACCAGCATTGTCCTCCAATTGTTTCGAGGGCTTGATGGCGGACGTGACGTTGGTCCACCCTTACATTGGTAGCTCTGCCGACCTGACCAAGTGGGGGGAGGTCAACCTCGACGCCCTCCATGCTGCAGCGTCTGAGAAGATTCGCAAACATCGCGCTGCATATGCCATGACTACTCCTCCTTGAGCGTTCATCCCTCTTGCCATCTCGACGGACGGTACCCTGCATCCTGACACCCTCCGCTTCATCTGGTATCTGGCGGACATCATTGCTCAGCGCTCGATGCCTCTTGAGGATGCGGCGTTTGGTCGGCACTTCGTGCCTGATGACGGACCTGCTGCTGAGGTCTTGGCTCGCAAACGCGCCGCCACCTATCAGCGCCTCACTATGCAGCTGACGCTGGAGGCGCCCTTGTCTGGTGCGAGGCGCATGACGCCCTTGCGGGCGCAAGCACTTCTCGAGCTAATGACGTGGACTGAGCGGACTTTGTCAAGTCGCGAGGAGGAGTCTTCGCCGGAGGTCTCCGACTCCGATCATGATGGGGGAAACACGTCGAGTGGCCCGACGATCGGCGCGGAGCTGGCGAGGCGTCTCCGTCCCTCACTGTGACGTCGGGTGCCTCCGGAGAGCTCGACACCACTGGGGTGCTTGCTGCTGGTCCGAGCTCCTGCTTCTTCTCGCTGTGGACTGTGTGCCTGCCGGTTCAGCTTGTTCCTGCTTTGTTTTGCTTGAGGCACTTTTTACCTTATGCCAGTAAATCCTCGAGCTCCTCCCCGGCATCGGTCGGGTCACGCCGGTCCTTGGGCATTGCCGCGGCGTCGCCGCCGTCACGGGCGGCTACCGCTGACTCGGCTACCGCTGACTCGGAGGCTAGTGAGGAGGACTACCTCGAGCGGTACCGTGGCAGTGTTCCTGTGTCCAGCCTCCCTCCGTCCGCTGCTCCAGGCGGACCCCCGGGCAGCTCCGGCTCCTTGTCGGCGGCTGCCCTTTCTCCGTCCGCGGCCGCCCGCTTTGTGGCGGCAGCGGACGTCTCGACTGACAGTGGTCAGTCGGCTGCCTCCGGGTATCGCGTCTAAGGGATGTTATTCCTCCTGCATGCTCCTGCTGCTTGTTGCTTGATTGCTTGACCCTTAGGCTGCTTGTCTGCGCGGCTTCGCGCTTGGGCTGGCGATGCCGCGTCTGGGTGCCAGCAGTGCTGGTTCTTTTCGGGCTTGTGTTTTGTGTGTGATTGTGCAGCTTCTCGCTGGAATTAATATTCCCTCATCGGCCTTGAAGGAGACTGCTTTGTTTTGCTTGAGGCACTTTTTACCTTCTGCCAGTAAATCCTATACCACGGTACCGCTCGAGGTAGTCCTCCTCGCTAGCCTCCGAGTCAGCGGTAGCCGAGTCAGCGGTAGCCGCCCGTGACGGCGTAGCTCTGCCGACCTGACCAAGTGGGGGGAGGTCAACCCCGACGCCCTCCATATTGCAGCGTCTGAGAAGATTCGCAAACATCGCGCTGCATATGCTATGACTACTCCTTGGGCTGGCGCTGCCGCGTCTGGGTGCCAGCAGTGCTGGTTCTTTTCGGGCTTGTGTTTTGTGTGTGATTGTGCAGCTTCTCGCTGTGGACTGTGTGCCTGCCGGCTCAGCTTGTTCCTGCTTTGTTCCGTCCGCTGCCCCTGGCGGACCCCCGGGCAGCTCCGGCTCCTTGTCGGCGGCTGCCCTTTCTCCGTCCGCGGCCGCCCGCTTTGTGGCGGCAGCGGACGTCTCGACTGACAGTGGTCAGTCGGCTGCCTCCGGGTATCGCGTCTGAGGGATGTTATTCCTTCTGCATGCTCCTGCTGCTTGTTGCTTGATTGCTTGACCCTTAGGCTGCTTGTCTGCGCGGCTGCCAGTAAATCCTATATACAGCAGTGAACGTCCAGGCTATGAGGAGAGGGCAAGGTCCGGGACGTGGGCTGGTCAGAGTACCAAGCGAGGAAGCGAGCGATATAGGGATATAGGATTTACTGGCAGAAGATAAAAAGTGCCTCAA